ATAATCTTCAAGTAAAAATGTTTGGGAAATGTGTTGTTGACTTCTATAATTTTAAAGATTTCTGTTGTATAATTCGGTGTATTCCCTTTTTCAAACACATGTTTATACTTGCTGATACGAACGTGATCGCGATTTCGTAGCTTACTCTTAACATATATCTTTATGTTATTATAATAGTCTTGTAATATTTGTTTTTCATTAGTTGTATTGACATTGATTGGGCTCATTTTTATGGTTCTATGTACCCTATTATTGTAATCAAACATAGAATTTTTGTAAATATCTATCCACTTATATTTCCCATTGAAACTAAACTTACGCCACATTGACTCTTTGAGTGTTCTATTAAAACGCTCGACAATTGATGCCTTAAGAGTGCTGAACGGGGAATAATGATTTATATCATAACGTTTCATTAGTTGTTTAAATTTTGTATTAAAAAACTCTTTTCCATCATCTGTTTGTAAATTTTTTTGTGCTTCATGACCTGATTTTAAGATTTTCTCCATTGCTTGGGAAACATCATTGGCATTTTTTGATTGTAGTGCTTCACCCCAAGCAAATTTAGAAAACGTATCAATTACATTTAATAAGTAACCATAACCTTTGTTAGATGTTGAATAACCCCTTATTTCAACCAAATCTGATTGATACAGATCGTTTATTCCCTTCGTAATGACTCGTTTTCGTTGAAAATGTCTACGAGACGGTCCGTGTAACTCGTTTAAAATTTCTCGTTTAATCATATTCTTCGAATTGGTGTATAGGCTACACCTTCTATATCAATTGTTGTCTTTTTTGGTATCGCTGTCGGTTTTGTAACATACTTAAAAATATAGTCCTCAATAACTTTTATTATCAGTACTATCTGCTCTCTTGTTATAGACCTCTATTTTATTTTCAAGATTTGAAATTTTTGTAAATCGACGATTAATTCTTTGACTTACAAAATTTCTTAAGTCTTCCCCCAACTTTCTGACACACTCATCTGTATAATGTTTTGTAGTCTAGTCATTATCATCTAAGGGCTTAATAGCGGTTTTAACTCTTTTATTTTGAGCGTTTAGATTACCATCAGTATCTATAAAAAAGTTTCATTTAATTTAACACCTCTTTTTAAATGATCTGATCGCTCCCTATCATTAGAAAAATGTCCAAACTTGTCAACAGACATGATGATTATAAATAAAAATTTTTGTTTTTAATTTATATACTTTAATTAAACAATAATTCCCTCCTCTCGCAGTTCCTCTGCTATTGAGAAAATCTCACTATTGTGATTGTTCTTACCCGCTGCTTTTGACGCCACTAAAATTTGTAACCGTTCGACTAGTTCATTCACATCATTCCAATATATATAATTTGGTTTTGATTCCTCCAGAGTCATATAACCGAAACCAGTTTTCGTAAGAAGTGGAGCGGATGTTGTAGGATTTTCATTATCGTTTATTGTTTTTTTTTATAATTTTGGTAATTTAAATGCGCGTGAACCTTTAATTCGATTATTCACGTTATAACCTAATCTGTGTACTTATGTTTCCAATATAATATTTATACACGTTACTCGTAGAGTGTAACAGGTGTCTTCCTATTATCCTCGTCAGTAGGATCGAATTCGACTTCTGTATTCTCCTTGTTCTTATAGTTGTTGTTTTCCATGTTCATTTTATTATATATATATTGCTTTTTATTGTTTAGCATATGTTTTATATTGTTTAGCAGTTGATTTTTGTTGTATAGCCTTTGTTTTTTATTGTTTAGTAGTTTTTTTTTTGTTTGGCAGATGTTTAGCAGTTGTTTTTTGTTATTTCGCAGTTGTTTTTTGTTCACTTGTACAACGTCTGTTGAATGTAAAGTCGAAGCTTGAACTGAAAATTTTAAAGTAGACAACCCCAATTTTTATACCATCCAGAAGTCACACATACAAACGTATATACGACAAATTTGTTTTAAAACGACTCACTCCATTGACAAAGGAAAGTAGAAATGAAAGACATAAATGACCACAGTTGTATGTATCAAAATGTTGAATGTATGTATCAAATGTTGATGTTGTGAGGATAAATTTGGATTCTTGCCTATAAGTAAAGATAACGACAGGGACAATGGAAGATATATAAAAGGTTTTGATCAATTTATTTTGATTTAAAAAAGTTATTGCATTTGGTATAAAAATAGATTAAAAATAAACATTTCCACAGTTTAACAAAAGATTTCATTATGTCTAGATCAGTGACCTTGTCCTCTTGTTCTTTTATAAATACAAACTATTTTCCACCAATCGAATTTGATGGACGTTTTGAGTGTGCATTAATTGATTTTAATATGTACAATTCAATCCCAAATATAGACGAAAAAGAACAATCTCTTCCATATTGGAACTAATGTAATCACAATTCATACTGTATCCTATGAACTTAATGATATAACTGATTATATTAAAAAAAACTTTAAGATTATGGTATTGAAAAATCTTTTAAAATTGAAAACAATAACAATACTCTTCAAGTGGAACTACATAGCACTCGGGAGCCGGTTTACTTTAATAAGAAAAGATCAATCGGTCATCTTTTTGGTTTTGATAAAAGAGTTTTAGAGCCACACCCAACAAAAACATATCTATCAGATCAGACTCTCAATATTTTAAAAATGAATACTATTCGTTTGGAATGTAACATAATTAGTGGTTCATATCTAGATAAAACTCCTATTCAACGTATGATTAGGTGTATTATCTATGATGATCTATATGAATTCGGTATTAATGTTCCTCCTGGCTATAAAATTAATGTGACACCACATAATCTTATTTACTTGTCAATCAACTGTCATGAAATAAGCACTCTCTACACGCATCGTAGATCAAAACGGAGATTTGGTAAATTTACGTGGTGAAAACATTGCTATTCGATTACATATTCGCATGATAGAATGATTATATATAATAAATGTCGTCTTGTGAAGTGCGGAGTGACAATGGCAAGAACTTCGTGGGAGCTGACAGGGAGGCCAGGCGATTTGGAGACGTGTTCGAGACGGAAAGGATACAGAGTGAGTTATCCAGCAGGAGCATTGAATGGGTCTTTAATTGCCCATCCAACCCGTCTGAGGGCGGAGTATGGGAGCGGATGGTGCAGTGCATCAAGCGAGTGCTGCGCCATACCCTGAAGGAAGTCGCGCCGAGGGACCATGTTTTGGAGAGTCTCCTTATAGAGGCGGAAAACATAGTCAATTCGCGTCCGCTCACCCACTTGCCACTGGATGCGGACCAAGAGCCGCCGTTGACGCCAAACGACCTGCTCAAGGGAGCAGCTAACCTTCCGGATACGCCCGGATGGGATGTGGAGCGGCCCAAGGAGGGTTCTACGCGAAAGCAGTGGAGGATTGCCCGCATGCTGCGGGCCCGCTTCTGGAGGAAGTGGGACATGGAGTATCTGCCTACGCTTGTGCGCCGCGAGAAGTGGTGCCGGAGAACGGAGCCCATCCGCCAGGGCGATATGGTCTTCGTCTGCGATCCTGCCTTGCCCAGACGAGAGTGGCGCAAGAGCATCGTGGATGAGGTATACAGCGGAGCTGATGGAGTCGTCAGACGCGCCACTGTGCGCGTAAATGATAATGGACTATCTTGGACAATATTGCGGCCCGTCCCTAAACTTGCAGTTTTGGATTTGAGTAAAGTGGGTCTTCACGGGGTCGGGGATGTCGACGGTCAAAACATTGTTATCGATAGTTATGTCAGTATTAATAGGAAATTTAGTATTTTTTAAGTTATCCGATTTTTGGCCCATTGAAGTACGGGCTTATTAATCGCGGTTATGTGAATGCCGCCGAAAAGTGCCTTTTCACTGTCTTGTGAATAGTAGGAGGGCACACTGCGGTAAAAAGAAGAGCTATATTTGAATTGTAAACTAATTTAATGAATTTACAGAATAAAACGTTCCGTACGCCATAGCCATAGGCCTTTGAAGTTCACCTTTCTTTTGACCTACGCGTGGGGGGAGCCGTTTAAGGCAACTCCGCACTTCACAAGACGACATCTTTTATTCGCAGTCCTAGGGAGACTGCAAGGGCAACTTGCGCTGGAGGACGGCTTGACGACCAGCTAGGGAATTGCCAGGAGCGCACGGAGCGCATTTCCCGTACCAGCAGAGGAGTCGCAGCCAGCGACATAGACGGCGCAAGGAGCGCAAAACACTGAGTACGAACGGAGTCGCAGCCAGGGACACGGAGACGCAACCGGCGTCAGTTCAGGAGACGCAGCCAGCGTCAAGTTAGGAAGCACAAGGAACGCCAAGCACCAGCGGTCAGGAGGCGCAAGGAGCGCCGAGCATCAGCGGCAGCAGCCAGACGGCACAGGTTCGCCATTTTGGAGCGCTAGGGCAGCGCCATATTTGGACCATATTTATTTGGAGATGCAGCATTCCCCCAGGAGGAGTTTCCGGCTGAACGGAGGGGAAGCCACCCCTACAACAACGCAGCAGCCAGCGAGTAGTGCAGCAGAAAACCGGCCGGGGGTTAACATAACCACGGCGGCGGCCATTTCTCACCCAGCCACTACAGCGACTACAGTAGCGTCCCAACCAAGGAGTACTGTAACAGCAGCTGCGAGCTCAGAGCCGGAGGTGGGCCAGCCACCCACGGCGTACCTTTTGGATAGGATCACGGCGTTGGAGAATGAGCTGAAGCAGGTTAGAGCCATGAACACAACGAGCACCGCCAATTTCGCGCCAATCGCAGTTGGCCCAAGCGCAAATGGCGCCAACAGTGGAGCGTCGGAGCGGCCGCCATCGTGGAGCGGACCACCATTGGGACCTACACGCTGCCGTCATCTTGGAGTGGACCACCGTTACTAACGACTAGCAACCCACTGTGTGCTACAAGCGCTGCGCAAACAGCGCATGGATTCGTGCTACCGGGCGGGAGCATCCACAACGTGGCAACTGCATCACAATTCGTGGGATCCTACGCCTCGATGACACCGATTGGAACCCAAGGAGCGAATGGGCCAAGGAGGGCAGCCCGAGTATTGGCCCATCTTTAATTGTGCATTTGTGGAGACGACCCAAGCGTACAACTGCACGGACCTGGAGAACAACCAGAGGCTGTTGAAGGCGCTGAAAGATGAAGCACGTGAGACAGTGAAGTCGCTGCTGATTCACCCTGCGAACGTCAGAGCCGTAATGGAGCAGTTGCGCTTTAGGTTTGGCCGACCGGAGCAGCTTATACGCAGCCAGCTGCACAGCGTGCGAGAGGTGCCGCCGATTCCGGAGCAGAACCTGGCGAGAACCTTCGCAACTAGAGTGAGTAACCTCACGGCATTCTTGCAGTCGGCAAAGGCGTAGCAACATCTGGGAAACTCCCACCCTCATGAAGGAGCTTGTGGCAAAGCTTCCCACCAGCAAACGAGTGGATTGGGCCAGGCACGCTGCATCGATCGAGCCCTTTCCCACTGTAGCGCACTTCAGCGTGTGGCTACAGGAGTACGCAAACATTGTGTGTACGATTTTGGACGTCGAGGGAAAGGAGCCGAGGCGTCGAGTTCTACACGCGAGCGTCGACCAGGACGGATACGAGCAGCGGGATGACCGGCATAGAGGTTGTCCAATTTGTGGAGGGCAACATGCTACGACGAACTGCAGGGAGTTCATCGGAGCCTCGTCACCGGGCAGGTGGAGCATGGTGAAGAGGCATCGGCTCTGCTTCACATGCTTACGGAGTGGGCATACGACCAGATCATACGACCTGGAGAGAAAGGCCCCTTAGCCAGTGGAGGCGCCCGTGCAGACGAATTTAAGTATTGACGTCGAAGGAGGCCGACTTTTGTTCCGGATACTGCCAGTAACGCTGTACGGAGCTGGTCGCCAGGTGGACACATACGCGCTGTTAGATGAAGGAGCCTCCGTCACGATGATCGATAACGAGCTACGGAGGGATCTGAGATTGCAGGGCGAACATCGACAGCTGAACATCCAATGGTTGGGAGGAAGAGCCTGCAGGGAGCCTACCAACGTGGTGAGTCTGGAGATAAGTGGAGCTGGGAAGCCCACTCGCCACCCGTTGAGAAACGTGTACGCAGTTTCAAACTTGAGTCTGCCGATGGAAATATTAAGTCGACGAGATGTCTAGGGCGTGCAAAGGGATTCGCTACTGCCGATGAAGCCCTACAGCAACGTGGTGCCGATGTTGCTAATCGGACTGGACCATGGTCATTTGGGATTGCCACTTAGGACGAGGCGGTTTGCCAGAGAGGGACCGTATGCGGCCGCAACCGAGCTTGGGTGGGTTGTGTTCGGGCCAGTAAGTGGACAGTCAACTACGCCGTCACCGAGGTCCTGCCTTCTAGACGTGTCAATGGACAACACGATGGAAAAGATGGTGGAGGACTTCTTCGACATGGAAAGCTTTGGTGTAAAGCTCGCGCCATCGGTCGCAGCCAGCGACGACGCGCGGGCCCAAAGGATCCTCGAGGACACCACGGTGAAAGTGGGGCGTCGCTACCAGTCGGGATTGCGCTGGAAGGATGACCACGCTGTGCTGCCACGGAGCTACGAGATGGCGCACAGACGGCTAATCAACGTCGAGAAGAAGTTGAAGCGAAACGGGCAGTTGCCTCTGGAATTCGACCGTATCATCAAGGATTACGTTTCCAGGATATGCAAGGAAGCTGCAGCCGGATGAGGTCGCGGTGAAGAGCGATAAGCAGTGGTATTTGCCACATTTTGGTGTGAAAAACCCAAACAAGCCCGGTAAGGTCCGGCTTGTGTTCGATGCTGCAGCTAAGGTTGGAGGAACCTCACTCAATTCGGCGCTGGACAAGGGGCCACAGCACTACAAGCCCTTGCCAGCTGTGCTCTTCCACTTCAGAAAAGGAACAGTCGGAGTGTGCGGGGACATCAAGGAGATGTTCCACCAAGTGCTGATCCGACCCGAGGGTCGATGTTCCCAACGGTTCCTCTGGAGAGATGGCAACGACGATCGAGAGCCGGATATATACGAAATGAACGTAATGACATTTGGAGCAGCCTGCTCCCCAAGCACTGCGCACTACGTCAAGACGGTGAATGCCTTGAAGTTTCGGGATTCAGATCCGAGGGCAGTCAAGGCCATCATCGACCACCATTACGTCGATGACTACGTGGATAGTTTCGATACGGAGAGCGAAGCTATTGAGGTATCTACCCGAGTGAAGGAGATACACGCGGAGGCTGGATTCGAGCTATGCCAGTTCTTATCCAGCTCACCCATCGTGGAAGCGGCGTTGGGACCACCTGGACAAGTCAAGAGCGTCGCATGGGGTGAGTCTGAGCAGAAAATCCTTGGAATGCGTTGGCAGGTAGCAACGGATGACTTCAGATTCAACGTGGAGTATCATCGAGTGCCAAAAAGCGTCCTAAGTGGAGAGCGAGTCCCAACAAAGAGGGAGTTTTTGAGCCTGCTGATATCAACGTTCGACCCATTGGGGTTGTTGCTGCGGGAGATCTGGAGGCAGAAGATCCAGTGGGATGAACCGCTGCCGGAGGAGATAGGCAGAGCCTTTGCTGCCGCAGAAAGGACGTCGCCAACTCGAGCGAGATTCGAAGTCTGGCGCCTTACGTGGACAAATATGGAGTTCTGCGAGTTTATGGCAGAGTCGATGCCGCGCTGTCCGTGCCGTACAGTGCGAGGAGGCCTGTGATACTGTCACACAGGCACAGTCTTACGGAGATGGTAGTAAGACACTACCACGCCCAGATGAAGCATTAAAACGTGGATGCGACGATTGCCCAGATCCGAACGAGATTCTGGGTCACGAAGATAAGACGAGTGCTGAAGGAGGTAATCTCGTCGTGCAACGAATGCAAGCTACAACGGACGCGGCCGATGCCGCCGATAATGGGACCCCTTCCAGAGGATCGCTCAGAAGCTGGAGGATGGCCATTCAAGTACACAGGACTAGACTACTTTGGGCCACTGCTGGTGACTGTTGCTCATCACAGAGAGAAGCGTTGGGTCGCTTTGTTCACATGCTTGACAACAAGGGAGATTCATCTGGATCTGGCGCATGACCTGTCAACGGATTCCTGTATAATAGCGATCAGGAACTTTGTCTGCCTCATGTGACAACTAGTTACATTGCAAAAATTAAGACGTATGATAATATTAAAAGTGGTGTAAGCCTACCTATTGCATTTCGTAGTTGGGACTCCTACGTTAACCCAAAATTAGGACAAGGAACACACTACTTTTGGAATGTTAAACTTTCAGCAAATCGGGAGAGACCTAGGTTTGCAATAATCGGATTTGCACTGAACGGAAAACTTGTCACAAATAATTTATCAAACTTGAAGGTTCATTTAAATTCTGACTCATACCCATATGATAATTTAAATGTCGACTTCAATAATAATCAGTTTGCTCACCTATATGAAATGTATTCAAGATTTCAATCTAGTTACTACAATCGTGACTAGACGAACCATTTTTATCACCATCGGAATTTAAAATGAAAGCTTCAATTATCGTAATTGATCTTTCATATCAAAATGAAACAGTAAAATGTGGTCCTATTGACGTGAGAATTTCAACTGAACTGAAGACACCAAGTGACGATACCCAAGCTTATTGCCTACTCATACAGGATCGATTAGTCGAATATAATCCATAAAACGGATTAGTACAACGAGTTGTTTGATATTGTTTAAAAATGATTAAAGATATTATATCAAATGATATTCAAGGTTTCTTTGACAATAACAATAAATTTATCCTTAAAGAAATTGGAATAGTAGTTGAAATAGTTTTATTATAGAACCACCATATGATAAGTTTGCAGTGGTTTGAGATTTTGTATATTATAAAGTGTATTATATACAAAATCTGAAACCACTGCAAACTGGTTAACAAAAAAAGAATGATAACATTTTTTGGATCGATGTTGGCGAAAGTTTTGAGAAAACGCGACGATATCTTAAAGCAATAACTATTGGAAAACAAATGATCTGTAAGGAAATGGAAAAGACACGTTTACTACAATCATTTTTTGGAAACCACCATCATTAAACCGGTTTAGAGGAAACAGATTTCCCTATTGTAAAAATCATGTCAAAGGTGGTGTGTGTGCTTTAAACAATGCCTACAACATTCTACATTTTTTTTAAAAGTAGTTCAAAATATTATAAATGAAACATATCTATTTGCATTCACTTCATTTTGAAGTTGAGACCACTTGTGACAAGACCTGTTTCACAAAAAAAAAATATTTCGATAAATAATGAAATTTCTTGAAGAAATTGATAATTTTTTTCTACAATTCAATGGGAAGATATTTGAAAATCATTTCCAATACCTTCTTAAAAACAAAGGTATGTTCATGAATTTAGGTGCACAAGATGTAAAAACAATGAATTATGGTGAACACTTTACATTCTGTAACACCGATTCGAGGTTAGAAACATGCGCATGCCTCTTTTACGTAAATCGAAAGAATGGAGCTAGAAAAATAATTTTATTGTATCAATAATTAATAAATAAACGTATTATGTGAAACGAAAAAAAATTTTGTTTTCTTACTTTTTATGAATAAGGGAAGGGAAATACATGAGGACTCACTTGCACACGTACACATATACACTCATCTGGGGTTCCCTCTCAACCATACACACGCACACACGTAGTTAGTGGCTTACATATATTGAAATTGTTTTGAGAAAATTCAACCCCTTAAGACGTTCCCAATCCTCCTAATTAGGGTCAGGAATACATTTCGGAAGGATTTAAAGGAAGGATAAACGATGGATCAGGCTTTCAATTTCCAGAAAATTTTATGAGTAAAGCAGCATCGTCTTTGCTCACACATCTCAGAACATTATTAGAAAGTTATAAAAATAAATGCAGTTATTTGCTGAATATATACTCTTTAAGGATGAAACGGAAGAAATTGAGATTAAAAATTTTCAAAGTAAAACAACTATTATGAATCCGTTCTCGGATTTGGATTCTATTTTTCTTGAGCATATGAAAACAGCAGAAAAAACACAAGAATTCCAAAAAAAAGATAGCGGGATAGTGAATGTGAACCAATATACACCTTCATCAGGTTCATAATAAATCCCTGTACCAAAACTCTTAGCTTCGAAGAAAGCTATAATTAATGTATGTTATGATAATGATGTATACTGTTTTAAATGGGCATTGATATCGGCTTTAATAAATGTTTAAAACCTACAAATATGTAGTTCATATAACATTGATATATCCAATGAAATCTAAATTTTCCTATGGAAATAAAATGTGTGAAACAATTTGTAAACAATAATCTCTATATGAGTATAAACATCCTTGGGTATAATGAAGATACCAAACAAATAAGTGGACCGCTTTTTCAATCAGAGATTGATAAACCGTGTCACGTAAACATAGTTTTTGGAAGATGGAGGAAATTGACAATATATGTTCATTAAAAATATTTCAAGGTATGTATCATATCATATATATATATATTTATTTATAAATAAAACATACTAAATAAAATATTAATGGCTTTCTATAGACTATTGACAAGGCAAAGGGGGTCTCAAAACAAATCCGCTTTTTCAATCAGAGATTGATAAACCGTGTCACGTAAAAATAGTTTTTGGAAGATGGAGGAAATGGACAATATATGTCCATTAAAAATATTTCAAGGTATGTATCATATCATCATATATATATATTTATTTATAAATAAAACATACTAAATAAAATATTAATGGCTTTCTATAGATTATTGACAAGGCAAAGGGGGACTCAAAACAAATCACAATTGATGTGTAATGTTTGCTTGAATTTTTCTGGATCTGAGGATGCTCTAAAACTTTTTGGAGCGGAAAAGTCCAGGCTACCGAAATTACACAATCGAACTCTGGAGTTTACGCAATACCACAAGCAGCTTAAGGTTCAGTTAGTCGTTTACGCTGACTTTGAATCTGTACTGGAGCCGAGAAATATTGAAGTAAGCCCGAAATTATATAATTTAAGCTCTCATATACCTGTAGCTTATGTTTATTATATTAAGTGGGCCTTTGATTCTAAGCTATATAAATTTGTAATAAAAACAGGTAGTAACGCAGGATCAAATTTTGTTATCTCTCTTGTACAAGATTTATCAAAACTGAATGACGAGTACTTGTATAAAATTAAACCAATCATAATGACTCCTGAAGACGAGTTTGAATTTCATGATTCATTAAATTGTGATATTTGTAAAAAACAATTATTAAATGGTAGAGTTGCCATTTAACAGGGGTGCAGCTCATTCTAAATGTAACTTGCGGTATAGACTTTGTAAATTTATAGCAGTGTTTTTCCATAATTTTTCTAAGTATGATTGTCATTTATTTATTGAAGACTTGTCTAAAATTCCTGGTAGTATTAATGCAATCCCAGTAAATAAAGAATAATATATTTCGCTGTCCAAAACCATAAAAACTTTAAATGGAAACAATTTTGAAATTCGATATCTTGACACATTCAGATTTATGGCACCAAGTTTAGATACCCTTACTTCTAACCTAATTGATGATCAGTTAAATACAGTAAGAACTTTTTTTAAAAATGAAATAGAATTCAGGCTTATGCGTAAAAAGGGTATCTTTCCACATGAGTATTTAGATTCAGCTATTTTAGAAAAATATGTCTACAAATTTATTCATTAGACCCTCAGTTTTTTACTACACCAGGTCTATCTTGGGCAGCCATGTTAAAGACCACAAATATTCAAATAGAGTTATTAGTAGATATCAATATGTAAAGATTTATTCAAAATAGCATTCGAGGGGGCTTAGTACAATGTTGCCATAGATATGTACAAAGGCAAATAACAACTACTTAACAGATTTTGATCCACAAAAGAATCATCCTTTTTAATGTATTTGGATGCAAACAATTTATATGGTTGGGCAATATCACAACCTCTTCCATATGAAGGGTTTGAATGGTTGTCCCCTAATGACTTAAAAAATGTTGATATGGTATAACATATCTATTGATAGTGAGTATGGATATTTTTTGGAAGTAGACCGAATTTACCCTATCGCCTTCATGATACACATAATTATCTTCCGTTTTGTCTGTCAAATAGTTTTGCATCTAAAGAGGATAAAGTTAAAAAATTAATAAATTTTTTTAATTTAATGAACAACTCAGACTATGGGAAAACTATGGAAAATCCTGTAAACGTGTAGAGGTTAAATTGCAGTCTACAGATGTTAATATATTCGGCCGTAAAAACATTGTGTTAAAAATTTAATTTAAAAATTCAATTTTCATAGTGCAACTAAAATAAATGATGAGTTCTATGCCATCCAAATGAAAAAACTTTCAGTAGTATTTGATAAGCCAATGTATTTGGGTTTTGCTGTATTGGACTTATCAAAGTCTAAAATGTACGATATTCATCAACAATACATGAAACCCAAAAATCATTTAGTGAATTTATAGGTCTATGCTCCAAAGTTTATAGCTATAAAATAGATGAAGTTGAAAACTCTTATAATAAAGCAAAAGGTGTAAGTTCCAGAAATTTAACTATGGATCATTATAAAAATGTCTTACTCACTGGAACTCCACTATATGGTAGGAGGACAATGTTTAGATCAAGAACACACAAAATATCAACAAAAAGAGTATAAAGAATGTGCTTTGTGCTAATGATAGTAA